CCAGGTCCCTCTGCAGAACCTTCCTGCCCTCGAGCGGATCAACAGTCCCACCCAATTCAGTGTCATCTGCAAACTTCCTGAGGGTGCACTCAATCCCCTCATCCAGATCATCGATAAAGTTGTTAAACAAGACCTGTTCAAATACTGAGCCCTGAGGGACACCACTTGGGACTGGCCGCCAGCTGGATTGACCTCCATTCATCACCACTCTCTGTGCTTGTCTGTCCAGCCAGTTTTTTACCCAGCGAAGAGTGCACCTGTCTAGGCCATGAGCCACTTTAGGAGAATGCTATGGGAGACAGTGTCAAAGGCTTTACTAAAGTCCAGGTAGATGACATCCACAGATGTTATCCAGAAGAAAATAGAGCAGTATCTTTCCTTCCTTCCCGATGTTCACAAAGGATGATAAGAAAACACTCCTGAATACCAAATGCAGCTAGGATTGGAGACAGGAAAAAAAGAACCCTTTATAAGCGTTCATAATTCTTGATCTGTGTATCTAAAATGGTCTGTGCCCAGCAGATGAGGTTTCAAGGTTTGTAATGTAGATCTTAATACTACAATTTGTTTAATGAAAGCTTTCCGCCAACATCAGACTGGGTGTGGGGGCTGTCAGCTTGCTGACACCATGAAACCAGGCTATTGGAGAGCCATTAATCTAATGTGTAATAAGATTAACTGGTCAGAGAATGTGTTGTACCTTCCATTTGCTGTATCGGTTTACTTTCCTCCCAATGTACAATACAGAGACAGCTGTTGGGAGCAAAAGAGGAAAGATAAAGGCAAAAGAAAGCATAATTTGTCTAAGTACAAGCACGTGCAAACATATTTATTGTTTATCCTACAAATGGATCCCTTTTCTCTCTACTATTCTGCCCTAAGCTTTAGGTGGGTAAAAATTACAGAAAATTACTTGTTTGCATAGACTTCTCATCATAACTTAAACTATTAATAAATTAGTTCCAAATAGTCCTTTTAAAATCTGACCATTTACTGAACTAATAGAAGAATGTTATTATCTGAAAGGGTAGCAGGCAGATAAATGTGGTATGCATGCAACTTCCAGTGATGTCCTTTAAAGCAAAGGCATAATAGCAGCTGCTGTGCAGGCGGTGCATGTTGCCAGTGGAATTTATGTCTGACCAACTGTGTACTCTTTGACTCCAAGTGCTGTGTCTGTCTCGATCAATTGCAGTGTGTGAAAAGAAGAAGTGGTGGTGGGAATAATAGGAGGAGGACTATAGGAGTGGGATAAACATAAATACAGTTTTTACTCATTGTCAAGGAAGTATTTGAATCTAAATTTTAGGAGCTGAAAATTTAGGAAATTACAGATTTCTATTTTTTTATTGTATAAATGACAAAATACTGTTAATATAGTGTTTTTCAGATGGCTTAGATTTGAAGTAGATCTAAATGCAAATTATAGCAGCTTTTGACGGCACAAATGCTTTAAGTTACTTTGCAAATGTATTTGGCAAATATATTATTTGACAAGTATATATATATTTTTGTATGAATATAAAAAAATAACAGCATCAACCTGTTTGGAGAAGACTTTCTTAATTGTTTGACAAACAAGTGTGCTTCAATCCTGGATTTGATTTTTTTATGTGTATTGAAAATACTCAGAGTTTTGAAATGTAGGTAATTTGTGGGTGGTTAGAAATACAGAGTACAGCCTTTCTTGGCATAGGATATATACCTTATTTAATCTCCTTGTTTTTTTCTAAACTGGAGATGCAAGACCATCAGAAAAACACCTCTCTGTTGGCAGTGTTGCATTTTGGTGGTTTTTAGGTTTGCGGTTTTGTTGTTGTTTTTCAGTTAGCGCATATTAAAGCATCCTGTGTGTGTTCTGGGACAGCACCGTAGGCTACGTAGGAATATTGATTTTTCTCTCTTAACTTTCTAATAGCTGTTTTGGGTATTTTGTATACTGATATAGCTTTCCATAGTCTTGGCAGCAGGTACAGTTCAGGAGAAGTGCATTAAGTCATCTGGTTCGGGTCAGTGTCACTAGGAGATTGTTTCTTGCTGTGTATTAAGGAGATCTATCTTCCTTCAGCTAGCAGGCAGGAGCTTTTCAATAACTTGATATTCTCTGGAAAATGTTTCATCTCAATCATGCTCAAGAAGATATGTCTAACATCTCATTTGCTCATCAGGAATTCTCTGAAAGCGTGTCTGTGTCTGATTATATACTTGATACATCTTTTGCAAGCTGTTTAGCGAGTGAGTCCAAATTCACTTGAGACCTGCTTCTGATCTGGTCAGGTGCATCTCTGTCCTTGCCTCCCTGGGGTCCCACAGGTGATGCGAAAGGTGACAGTGAGAACATAAGTGAGACACGCTTCACTGGTATTTCCCAAGGTGTTTTTTGCTCCCTTCTGAAGGGCTGGGTTACTCCTGTGAGGAAACTCTTTACTAAGTGTTCTCTCTCTCTCATTTTCAGGCCAGAGCCTCAACAGAAAGTTCCCTCTGCACCTCCACCTCCACCCCCGCCCCCACCTCCACCCCTGCCGGAGCCCACCCCGCCTGAGCCAGAGGAGGAGATTTTAGGGTCCGATGATGAGGAGCAAGAGGATCCCGCAGATTACTGTAAAGGTGTGTGCTATTCAGCAGTCGATGAGCATAAACATTGTCATGCAGGTCTTAACTCTGGTTCTTGGGAGGTTTTGAAAGACCTGATCTTTAATTATAGGATTTATTTATACAAGAATTGTGAACAACTGCTCATTTCTGGTCCAGATGCGCAACTGTCTTCAGCTTTACTTTTTCACTTAGCCGTAGCTTAATTATAACATTTTGCAATAAAAATACAAATATTGCATCTCTGTTTTCTTCCTGATGTTCTAGTTGTAGGAGCAGAGAAGCAGCTTTGCTTGATTGATGTTAGTTGTAACAGGAACAAAACCACCCAAACTAAACCAAACAACCCTTCCCGTAGTCCAAAAGGTTCTAAAATGCCTTGGTGCCTTTAACAACATCAACTACATGTATTTTTCAATCTATGTCTTTTTTTCCTCTTCTTCTTTTGCCTGCCCCAGTCTGAGATGTTACATGCCCCTTTTTTGCATGTTGTCTTTCTCAGCCCTCAGCATTGTCTGAGGTTCTCTACATCTTTGTTTTAGCTCTTCATTTCCTTAATTTTTGTAGTTGCTTATATTCATTTTTTAAAATATCGTTAAATGCATAAAAACATGTGACTGCAGTACGACAGTGTCAGTGCTTAAGTTTGGTTTAATGGCACTTCTAAAGTTGCAAGTCTGTTCCCGTTAGGTTAGAATGTATATTGTACCTACATGAAAAATCGTAAGTAACAGGTCTATCAACTTTAGGTTATCTATCACAGTAGATTTAAAGGATATGAATTTACTTTAGGAAACATCAAAGTTTTACCACTTCAGATGAATGTTTTTGAACAGACAAAAAGCACTGTATGCACGTCGACTATGTCTGGTATTCTGTAGTCGTCTCATCAAGAAACACTTTCTGTGTCAAATACGATGATGCCTTCTTAATTAGAAGTTTCTCACACTTGAGATGTGCTATTTTAAGAGTCCCTCCTCCCAGCCTGGAACAAATTGGTTTGTATTTTCAGATTTAACAATTAAAAGTGATGATTTCATTTTTGTGTAAAAAGTTTTATTAAGATGTGATATTTCAAATGCTGAAGTGGCTTACAGATACCAATAGTGAAAACTGAACTGTAAACTCAATGTTCAGGTCTGCAGCAAGGAAAAGAAAAAACATGTCACTAAAGCAAGCACATGTGTATTTTTTAAAAAATTGTTTCTGTTACAACACGTTTGTTCCTTAAGATAACTCTTCTGGTATCTGTAACATCTTCCATCAGTGAGTAAGGATTTGTTGTTTAAACATCTGCTTACTTGTAAACATCTGTATTTCCTTGAGATTAAGTGTTTCAAGGCCCCCACTTAATTCTTCCCTGAAGTAAGGGCTACATTTAATTTCAAACAATCCATTGTTGTCTGTGTTCCAGTATCTCTTGAAAAAATGTCACCATCTGGAGAAGCTAGATCACAAAGCAAACAAAAAAATAGTCTAAGTTTACAGCCTGCTTGTAGGTTACCTGTTTAACTAGAGTGTCTGTGACACTAGCAGGTCAGTAGCGAGATCTGTGTGCTTTTAAAATGAACATGTTACATTAAGAATGCTTGCAAGTTTCCTGAAAAATTAAAGGGAACTTCTGTACACTTAAAGTTCTTCTGAATTCTTCTGGTCTTGGAGCTCTGAATTGATGGAAATACATTAAAGATGGTTCAAGCTTTGGTTTGTTTGGATGTTATAATCATTCTTTATTTCTGCAAGAACGTTGCTTTTGTTGCTGTAGTAGATGATTACCTATTTTCTGACCATAATTTCCTGTAAGACTGATCAGTACGTTTCCTTCTTTTAGTCTGCTGGGGTTAAACTGAATGGAAGGTCACCATAAGAATCTGAATGGAATGGCCAGACTGGGGTGATCTGGGCCCATACAGACTTTCCTTTGTTGGTTTTATATTCGATGTGGGGAATGATTGAGTTATTTGGTGAAGAATTCCAGGGATGGCTTTTAGATACATTTTTTCTAATTTTTTGAGAGCGGTTTGAATATGTTTTTCTGTTTTGGGTAACCTTACCTGTATTTACAGGGTGGAATATAACTATTTGGAAAGTATAATTCATTACTGGAGTGTTTAGTTTCTTTCTGATTTTATCTCTAAAATGGCAATCTCCCAGGATATTTGATTGAGGTGCAGAGCATACTTCATCTGTTCTCAACCTCAGTCTGAAATTTCATAGGTGGGCAATTTGGTAGGGAGTATATAATTAATTTTTTTAGTGAACTCAACATTTTCCCTGTTAACTGTCTTCCCATTGCCAGGATATTTTTGTTACTAAGTTTATTTTTAATTTTTACTTTTAAAGATGTTACTATGTGTTGGGCTCACATCTTCACCGTGTGACATGGTGGTTAGTAAATAGTCATAATAGTATTTTTAATCAGGAAGTTGAATTAGTTCGAATTAGCACCTGATGTGAAAGAGACAATTAACAGCCGTTGGTGTAAAGTAGATCCTGTTCCCCAGGGGCTTCCTCCAGGGCCTGTTTAAATCTGTGAAATGACTTCTGTTGATGTAGCTGAATTTACATTAAATGCTTTTCAAATCTTTATTTGTTTAAGGAATGGAGATACCAAAAGTCCAACTATGTGATTTTTCAAGGGGTACTTAGACAGTGAGGCTAGTTTTTCTTCTTTTCTGAAAAGCCTTGAAACACTTGGAGATTTTTTTCAAGAGCCTGTTGGGTCATGGACGTAATTGGAATTCTTTGCTTCTCTGATCATCTTCTTTGCCCCCTGGAGATGTCTCCCATTCATTCAGTTCACAAAGGGAATAATTCCCTATACAAACATAGAACTAACCAGCTACAATTACCAATACATTCAGGGAGACGTTTAGGAATAATGATCTCATTTTTCTGACCCTCTTTCTTGAGTGCATGTAGCTAGCTAGCTAGCTAGCTGTGAGAGACTTTTTTTCTGTGTGTGCTGCAGTGAATAGTACAACAGGGTTTAGGGTTTTTTGTTACGTTATCAGCAGTGCCACTTACACATTGTATATTTTCAAATACCAATATTGTTTTTCCAAAAATACATAATTTTTTCTCAACCCGTTAATTTTAGATGTTGTCTTGTTACTACTGTTTAGAAATACTTTCTGTATTGTGAAGAGCTTAAATAATTATATCTGTCATAGATGACACCAGTTTTTAAAATACATTTAACTATGTTGTTACCTGGTTGTCCGCAACCTGTAAAAGAATATGTTGCTGGCATGAATAATCGGTGAGTAATGTGTACAGGAACAGTAACTGATTATTTCCAAGACTGCTCCTGTTATAGCTTAGGACAGTACAAAGTATCTTGTGAAGTATATGTACTTGGAGAATATGCTACCGCTATTGCTATCTGTAGCATATGCTGGTGTATTGCTATAATTAGTTATGAGTGTGCTGTAGGGACCAAAATAACATGGCTTTTACATATATAGTATTGTTACTCTTGCAATACATACCGACCCCCAGTTTATTAACTTGACTTCAGTGTCTTTGACTGATTTCCTCTGTAGGGTGTTCTCTCTCCTGTCTACGATGGGAAGAAACTATCCCAAGTTTTTGATGATTTTTGACCCTTTGAAGCACAAGCATGCCAAAAGTTACCTGGGGAGAGGCAGACTTATAAGGCACTTATTTACCTAAACTATTCTTAGAAACATATGTTTACCTATATTTAAATTCTTTATTGTTGAGTGTTACGCTGTTAACATGTTAATGAAGCAAATATTTTGTTTAATGCAAAAAAATTACTTCTGGACATTGTTTTATGTACTTGAAGGCTCACTTACATCCTTCTGGCAGTGCAAAAGGCTGCATGAATCGTGAGTGTTTTCATATACATCTGAAGCCATACAGCTGTTAAGAACTGATTTAATAGGATTAGATATTTAGGAAAATTGTAAGACATTCCAGAAATATTTGTATTGTTGAATTTTAAAATCTGTTTGCAAATCATAGAGAGGTGTTAAAACTAGGTGTTAAATACTTTTCAGGTTTTCTAGTTATATCTGTTTGGAAAGGAATAATGAATATACAGATAGTAATGTTTCATACTTCTCACTATTTTCACGCAATGATACAAGCAGGACAAAACTCAAATTGGAAGGAGTGATACTGTGATATAGTGAATTATGTGGAAGTGTTTTATGTAATTGTTGCTGTCAGGTCAGCAGGCTTGATTCATTTCACAAATGCAAACCTTTTCAGGAATGGAAAGGTAGAGTTGCTGTATGTTCTCTTAACCTTCCACTCAAATCTATCACTTTATCATCCTGGATAGAGTTTTATGGAAGGAATTTACCAGAGAGAATACTTTTTTTGTTAAAAAACAGTCAATAGCTGTCTTAAAATATAATTGTATTTATTCAGATTTTAAAATATTTTCATCAGCTGTTGCTGCAAAGATTGTTAAATAGACAATTAAATTAAAATGTACTTTTGTTTTAATGTTCCTATCAGTATGGATTTCTGTATGTGAGTTTATTCAGCAAAATTTCTGTAATACTGAAGCTGCAATAGATTTGGGTGTCTTTGGCTGATTCTGTTTCTTTTTGCAAATGAAGTGGACAACAGAACAGTCAACACTTGCTCTCAGTAAGTCCATGTTCCCCCTTCTTTCCTGGAGTGTAAATCCAGTCGCATGTTCCAAAAGTGATCTGGTTTTTCTCTGGAATGTAAGGAGTTTGTGCTTGGTGCTGTTGCGCATTCTTATTGAGGTTGACACAATTCAGCAGTGGAAATGAAGGTATCTTTTAGGTTGGTAGGTGAGTTGTCCTGGCAGCTTTTCGTGAATGTTTCCTTCCCAGTGATGGAGGGAAGGGTTGGTCTTCCCCCAAGGAGGAGTCCTGGGACTTAGTCCTAGGCTGAGTCTGTGTGTCTCGATCCTCCTGTAATGCCCTGTACTGCTCCTGAACGAGGGCCCTCTTTTTCTTTTGCTCCTTTTTAACTGCGAATGTTGGTGCCTGTATAGCTAATGATTTATGAAATGAAATAGTGTGTGTGATAGTAAGTATACAGTTCTTATGGGTTCAAAGTTTAAAGGTTGTTCTCAATTCTGGGTCTTCATAGATTTGTGCAAAATTTTCATGGGAAAGATTAAACATCCAACACCCTACTGCTGGGCTTGGGGAACTGAGGCTGCGCTCTGTGTGACTGTCCATGCTACCAATGCACATCAGACTCATTTCTGTGCCTGATGAACACGCTTGATCCTCTGTGCTGGTATAAACTGGGAGGCAGGTGGGTAGGGAGGTGTGTAAAGTCAGTGCTGTATGTAGCTGAGGCACTGCCCATCTGAAATTGTTTGTTGCAGTCACTTGGTTCAGACCGGCCCCTGCTGAGATGAATACTTGTGAGTGCTGCTTCCCTGGCCTCTGCCAGCGGTGTTACGTGCGAGAGCCTGGGCAGCTGCGGCCATGTTGGATGGGTCAGCTTTTGGTGGAGGCTGTGCAAACCAGCGAGCATCTGCTACGCCTGAAGTTACACCTTAACATACACATATCGAAGCTATGTGTGTTTTAGAGTTTCAGTTTAGACATACCAACATCTAAAACAATACAAATACTTTTAAGCTTTATCGTTCCTTTGAATATGTAATCTTCATAGTTGCACGGTACAGTTGTGTTAAATTTATTAATCTGCTCTAGAAACATTTGAGAAAAGTTCTCAAATAAACTCTTGAACTTCTGCTAAGGCAAAAGATGTTATTAAAGAAAGGATAAAAGATAAAGAAAGGATATAAATATATCGAGATTTGATATCACTGTTCTGCAGATACAAAGAGATAAGTCCTTGTTTTAAATCCAAGGAATTAAGTGAATAGTTCACATTGTTGTCTTAACTGGGCATCAGTTCTAACAAGATTTTCAGGGGATTTCAAAACAAATATAGCAACTTAGAGAAAATAGTCTGAGGTTTTCTAATTTTAAGTAGAACAGTCAATAACTGAGGATCCTGCCAAAGGACAGTTGGGCATGACATTGTGAAGGACCAGAAAGAGCCCAAGAAGTGATTCCTTGACAGCTGGAGTCTGCTGCTGGTGGTGTTCTGGAGGGTTGCATGGTGCTGCTTTATTATTTGTTTGTAATTTAGGCAAAATTGTAGCTACTATTAGTGTGTTAAGGTCTGAATAATAACCTTGTGTGATCATGGTCTTCCCTGTGTTTGACTGGGAGGAATAATGCCTCTTAAAATATGAAGGAAATAAAAATCTTCATTACACCTCCTGACACTGCCTAGAAAACTAAGCTCCAGCCTGCTCTGTGCTGTTGGCCTTTCTGCCTGATGGGGCTTTTAAGGACCTGTGTAGTGGTGTAAGTTAGGATTGCAGACTTTGGTAATTAAAAAGCAGTTCAGACAAAGATCGTAGCTGCCTGTTCTCTCTTCTTCCTCACTGTAAAAACCTCAGACACAAGAAAAATGCATTGCTGCTATGGGCAGGAGCCAAGCAGAAGAGCATCAATAAAGTCTGCATTGTTCTTAACATTTTCTCAGGAAGTATTTTATTGCTGCTTTTATTAGTAGAAAGTAAATGGGAATTAAAACAATCTCTGTTGGGATTCTGCAGTCATCCAAAATATGTTGACTGGAGAAGCTTCAAATATGATAAAGAAATAACATAGATCTTTCCTGTGCTCTCTCTGAAGTGGAAGATAAGCCTGGGGAAATAGAGAACAGATGGTAATATTACCACAAATAAAAGCCATAAGAGAGAAGGGTGAATAAACTCTGCAGTAGTTACAGGACATGATTTTTTTCCCTCCAGGCCAAGCACGGCATAATTTTTAACATTAGAGTAAAATTTTCTTTAGATTTCCTATTTATAGTTCAGGACACTTTGAAGAGGAGAATTTATGGTACGAGAATTACTTGAAAATCTGGGAATTATTGTTTGTTTTCTGAATATTCTTTTTCTACTCATTTTTTCATCAAAGGAGGCTATCATCCAGTGAAAATTGGTGATCTTTTCAATGGCCGGTATCATGTTATTAGAAAGTTAGGATGGGGACACTTCTCTACAGTCTGGCTATGCTGGGATATGCAGTAAGAAAACTATTTATTTCCATTCACTTTTTTCTTAATATGTTACTTTATTTTGTTTGCGGTAACTTTTGTTTTACATGACATAAAGTTTTGCTATCTTTATGCAGAAAGATGTCTGCAGTCGTATTTTGCTCTTGGCTAAGGGTGTAGTTTATAAAACCTTTGAGAAATAAGTGTAATTCTGTTTTCTTTGACAAATTAGCTTTGCTTATTGAATTTGCATGTTGCCTTCAACATGCAAGAGTAAGCTAATGTTTTTATTTCTGTTGTATCTTTAATGAAAAAATATAATTACACCTTGATTGAATAATAAAACTTGTAACCAAATTCCTCTTTTAGAGACATTAGCATCAAGGAGACAAAATATTCAATAAATTGGACTGTTAACAGAGTATTGTTAAAAGTTGTTTTTAAGTGTAATTTCAGTGTTTTCTGTCAGAATACATTAGGTTATGAAATATTCTATTTAAAATTTCCCAACCTTCAAAGTACGTCTGTTTTAGCCAGAACATGTGTTGAAAATGTTTTTGTTCTTTTCAAGGGGGAAAAGATTCGTTGCAATGAAAGTTGTAAAAAGTGCCCAGCATTATACAGAGACAGCCTTGGATGAAATAAAGTTGCTCAAATGTGTAAGTATCACTCATGCAATACAGTGCGCGGTACCAATAATAATAATGAATTAAAAAATTGTAGCAGAGTATAATTTTTAAACTTTTTTTTTTTTTTTTTTTCCTAAATAGCTGGCTTATTATGTGTTACCATGGTTTTTGAAGCTCCAAAATATTGTTTAACTTCATGTGAATAGCTAACTAATTAGTATTTTAAAGTGAATTTTTTCCTAAAACGTCAGTGTTTACATTCTTGGTTTAGGTTCGTGAAAGTGACCCTAATGATCCCAACAAGGATATGGTTGTACAGCTAATTGATGACTTCAAAATTTCTGGAATGAATGGAATTCGTATCCTTTTGAAAACATGGCATCTTCCTTAAAAATGATCTACTGAAATAAGTAAGCATTTAGTTCTGGCTTTTTTCTAGTTGGTCTTACTTTAAATATGTAATGTAGAAACACCGAAATATATGTAGATGCAAAGAGTAGTCCGGTGTGTAGTGCACTCACGGGAGTGAAAGTAGCTTAGCTTTTCTAGACACAATGCAAAATAAAAACAATTCCCATGAATCTTGTCATGGTCTGCTAGAGCTGGATCTAGTTAGTTTATTTAAAAACTGGAGTTTTACTGAAAATATTCAGGAAATATGTTTTGCTCTAGACTAGTAAACAGAAAGAAAGTATTAGTATTATGAAGAAGCTGGTTTCTGTTTTCTGGTGGAAAGTGTGAGAGCATGGAGATTCTTCTCATGTTTATGTGATCCTCTTTTGGCCAGGTGTAACCTCTTTTTTTGGCAAAGGTTTTAAAGCTTTACCTTCAAATGCTTCCTTTGGGGGGAAAAAAAAGAAAAAAAAAAAAAGGAGCGAGAGAAAGTAAAATATGACTGAATATTGTTCTCAGGGAAAATTTTGGGTTTATGAATATACTTTATTTTAGAGTTGAGCTAAAGTGAGTTATCCTTGCTAATTATATTAGATATTTTAGCAGCTTATTATATTACTGTGCTTTTATTTACTGTTACAGCTGGTATTTATGTGTATGCTTGCTGTGTCTTGGAGCCTTAGTAACAGACCTCATTGTTCATGGTGTCATACTACCAGACAAAAAGACAGTTCCTACTCTAGAGAGCTTAACACTAAGTTGATTTTGGTGATGTGCCTTCAGTCTTCAGCAGATCAGGTTAAGATGCTCTTCACAAGCTCTCGTTCCCTAGGAGAGGAATCTAGGAGATGACTGTCAGTAAATCTGAATACCCAGTAAAAAGCATCCTTTCAGGGAGAAGTGTGCAAGCAGTTTTCATCCCATCCATCTGTCTCTTGACATTAGTTATGAAGCCTTTGGGTTTGTGATAAGTTAGAATGAGAGTGGGGGGACAAATATTCTCAGTTACAGAAGGGCACCTTAACTGCTTTCCCTTTGTCCCCTTTTGATTTGTTTCCTGATTGCTTCAGTGGTCAGTTACCATGGTAGAAAGCTGCTTAAATGTAGGTGAAGTTAGTATAGTCTGCTTTTTTCACAGGTTTTATCATCAAATTAAAAAGAATTAAAATAAACCATATAGTTGCCAGTAGTCATTTCAATCTGAATAGAAACAGTTTGTGTTCAAGGAAGTTGCTTAACACAATGGGGCGAAGAACCTTGGTAAAGGTTTCTTGGTGCTGCTGTTGTGCTACAAAAAATAGGTTTTAATTTATGAGCTGAGATGCTTATTAAGTATTTTATAAATATCTCTGTAGTCTAACTTATGTTCATTAAAAAATAATGCAACCAAAGTACTTCAGGTCTTCAGCTGACAGCTGTACAATTGAAGAATGATTGAAATTATTTTTAGAAATCAGAAATTTTGATTTACTGTTTTCATTGTAAAACACTAATATGAAATAGGGAGTAAGAAAATGCATTTGTAGCTGTACATAAAGTAACTCTGTTTGTTAAAAAAGCCGTTTCCCAATTAAAACTGGACAGCTGATATTGATTTATTCTATTTCAGCTTTACCTTCATGTTGAAAACTCTGGCAGTACAGAAGTTGTTTTATGTGGAAGGCAAATGTTCCTGCCTTACTGAGAAGTACATTTTTCAGAAAGCCCAGATGGGCTGATACTGGAGTCAAATTTAAATTACGGCTGGAATTCTGTCGAAGTCCTAACCACCTGTGAAAATATGATACGAAGTATCTTATGCTTTGAGTTTTCTTGTGAACAGCTTGTGCACCCTGAGTTGCATTGCTTCTTTGAGCAGCGGTTGGTTGCATTGGCTATTTGATGAACTTTTTATCTTCTAGGGAAAACAATCTTTGGTGCAGATTCTTTTGGGAGGGAGCAGGTAACTGATTTTAACGTTTTGCTGCTATTTGTTTCCATTTTTTAAATGCCGTATTAGTGCTATGTTAGTGTTTCTGAGTTGAACAGGTTGAGAGAAATACACTAGTTTGAGAGTTTTTCCATGCTCTGCTGTTTCCAGCTTCCTTTGGGCAAGTCACTAAATATCTGTTCCTTGACTGTAAATTAAAACAACATATGCTTCATAGAGGCTTGGTTATTGGTTATGGAATACATTTAAAAGTTAAAGCAAGACAGAAGAGAAGTGGGTGAATCCTTTGGATGGCTAATATCACAAAATGCTGTGGAGCTTCCGAACAGGGAGACTTGTCAAGAACCTTGTAGCACAGAGCTGGGAATGTGCAGAGCCATTGGCCTACGCTGTGTGTCTGAAAAGTCATCTTTCTCCTAGGAGCTGTAATAAGTGTTTATATGCAGAGGGATTTTAACAACGTGTGTTATGTTACACTGGACTGGTATTTTTTGAGCTGCTTGTACATTTTAAGAAAATTGCAATTACAATTTTTGCAGGAAATAACAGAATTCCTGAACTTGGGCACTTTGGTGTTTTCAGTAAATGTAGATTATTATGTTTGCCTGCACTGGGTATTTATTATTGTCTTAATAAGTGTTTGAGTGTAACATTTTTTTAGTAAAAGATTCAGATAATCGCAGAGTGAAACAAGTGTTTCGAGAGACAAGTGAAAAAATAAAGAAGGAAACATTCCCAACACAATCTGACATTATAATAAATTTATCTCCAAAGAATATTCAGCATTAATTAAATACCATAGAGCCTAAATGCTGCCAATCCAGAAGCAACTCAGATACATTCAGAAGTGTTCTGTGTTGGTACGAGAGCCTTATTTCATTTAGCTTAACTAGTCTTTAACCTTCGTCAGATTTCTAAATGCTCCTGTAATGTGTGTTTGTAGGTAGATGATAGTTACAGGTAGCATTTTAGTCAAGGAAGAACAGTTTTAAGTACTTAAGCCTGTCAGCTGATTAATGTTATGTTTGCTCTCAACTTTTGCAGCTCTGCTCAGTTTCCCCCTTTCAGACATTCCCCAAACCACTTCGAAGAGCGTTTCATAAGAGACATGTCTGCTGGGTGGGCTTCAAGTTTAGTTTTGCTGGAGGACTTCTTGGACATACTCATCTGTCAGGGTGTTGGTGCTGTAGGAAGATCCTGGGGCTTGCAAGGCTGGTTGATGTTAATGCACAGCTTTTCCCAAACTCTTTGTTGTGGGCAGTCTGGCTTACAGTTGATGTTTTTCAGGTCAGGATAGTAAATCAGACAACAGTCACATTCTTGCATACCTACTCCAGGCACTGAGCCTCCTGTATGCCTTCCCATCCCAGTTGCCTCCCCATTACTGTCCATGCCTTGAATTTGTCCGAGTCCTCTCAGCCAAGCGTTGCAATCTTTTTTTCAGGTAGATATTGCTTCTCTTTCTTGTGGCCCTCCCTCTGTTTGTCTCTGCCGTTCTTCCTTGCATCTTCCTTCTCAGT